ACAAAGGCAAGGACCTACAGGGGAATACTTCTCTGGGGTCTCTTCTGTTTTGACTGGATGTGGCAAGAGCATTGGGCTGGGAGTTAGATGTGGGTCCCCAGCCAGGCACAATCACTTGTCAGCCATATGAAACTGGGCAAGCCATTGACTTCCTGGGCATGTGTCTCCCCCTGAAAAAAAGGTGATCCCTTCCTTGTCAAATTGGTGTGAGAATAAATGAGTAAAACCTCAGAGTCTTCCTGAGTTTGAATGAAATAATTCTTGTACCGTGCTCAGCACAGTGCCTGGCACCCAGGAAGCAGGTATTCATTATTAATACTGAACAAAAGAAAAACCTCAAGCCCGGAACAGTGTTCATGGCTCTATACAATGCGCACTCCCCCCGGGTAGGCTAGGCAACTACCAAATACACAAAGATAGTTTAAGAAGTCAAGATTTTTTAGGATCTAAAAATAAACATAAAAATAAATGAAAATCATTTATTTATAGCCTAATGATTAGGAAAAGTGGTGCTCTAGGTTTTTTAAGCCTAAAAACCTAGATTTTATTAACACCAGATGTTATGTTTCTGATATAAAATACAAATATTAGTAAAGATAATGATAAAAGAATATCCCTTGCGAGTAATGAAATAATAGTGACTATAAAGTACATTTTAATATCTAAAATAAAAGGGCAATCCAGTGCTGGTAAGGCTGTGGTAATGCTAGTATGCTTATTCGCTATTTGCTTTGGAAATTTGTACCATCATCTTGGAAACATGGCAGCATATAACGAAAGTGGTAAAGAGTTCTCCTCATAATAAAGCAGGCTACTTGTGGGTCTCTAGGGAGGCAATTCAACTTAAGCAAAAGAGGTACACATCAAAACTAAGAGTGAAAACAAACAAAACTTTTCTTCTTCCACCAAATATTAAAAAAATGCTAGAAATAACCTAAATTTTCAATTAAGTGAATTATTTTATATATTAGAATTCATCTATATAAAGGAATGTTATACAGCCATTAATTGTGATGACTATGTATAAACATGGAGAATGGTTACAATCTGATGTTTAATTAGCATACGTTCTATTATTGTTACAATGAAAGATAGATGCTGCACGTTTGGAATCTGGTACACAAAAATGAAGACTATGTTTGGGGAAAGTGATTTTGTACTTATTTGGTTAAATATTTTTTTAATCTTGTTATTTTGTCTTTTAACTTTTCTAAAGATAACATGGTTATGAGGCAATGGTTCTTTGAGATCACCCAATAAATGCCTAAATTCCACGGGTTGCCTTGCCCAGCCAACCTACAATGACTCCTCTGACTCAGTTACAAGGGCATTCTGAGTGGACGGAGGTCTCACACAGAGATGCAGATGAGTGAGTTCTAAGGCATAAGGGGTTATTGGTTCTCCACTCAAAAACAGTGGATTTTGCTTGCTGACAGTTCTATACAAAGACAAAACAACCGCTGTGGCTTATTCTACCTTTTTTTCAGTTTGGGCTGTCTTGAATGAATTCCCCCCTCTTTGGTGACCTCCAAAGTAATACCCAGCGCCCAACAAAGTAAACCAAAACTACTGTACAAGTCAAGGTAAAGCTGCTCTTGCAAAAGGCTGACATAGCAATATTTAATAGCAGCATCCAAGAGCCAGTTCAATTTCTTTTTTCTTGTTAAGTGGTGAAATAGCGAAGCCATGAAGTCCATATCCCAGACTCTGTGGCAGAACTGAGGTAAAGAAGTAAACTGGCTTAGTTCTTTATTCAAAGGAACTGTTCATAAGATCTTTTACAGAGCAATGTCACCAGAAGATTCCTGCCACCAAGCCAATATCCCAAAATTGAGAGAGGGAAGATTTACTCTTAAAAAAAAAAAAAAAAAAGGAAAAAAACTGAAAAGAAAAAAGCTACAAGAAGGAGAAGTAGCACAGTAAGTGTACATAGGTCTTCCTAGGCTGTCTTAGGTAAGCGTACCCAGGAAGGCTTCTGCTCTGCTTAAACCTTTTTTCCTACTAGATGAAAACAAACACTCCCAAATGGTGAGCAGAGGGTTTGGAGTATGCACAAGTTTGGGTTCACTAAACCTTAACAAGCACAGGGCACTTGAGGAATGAGCTTACTGGAATCTGTTGAGGGGAGTAGATTTTGTTAAGTAGTAGGATGAAGAGAACAGGCTCAGCACCAAATTACAAAAAAAAAAAAAAAAAAAAAAAAAAAGACTTGGCTTTTTCCTTGTGGCCATGATGCAACATTGTGCTTTCCCCAAATCACCTACATAGCTGTACTGACTTGTCTGTGACTATGGTGTTGCAGCATCTATTGACTCCATGACTTTATTTCAAGTCTCAACTGCAACCAGCCAAGTAACTAATTCAAAATTAGAGTAGAAAAAAAAAATAAGGATGATCTTTATATTAGATACTTGAGTCTACATTGAATCCTTTCTACATCTAAAACCAATATCTGCATAAGATGCAAGGGAATCTCAAAAAGGCCCAAACTCCCATAAACAGCACTGTTTTTAATCTGTTGCCTACAATATACCAATGAGAAAAATCATGGTATTGTATCATAAACTGCTATGCAAATGATGCTATTTGTAAGTATTAACATAATTTAGTGCTTACAGTCATATTCTCATTTCTAATAATTCTCCCAGAATGGAGTCTTTCTCTGGACTCTTAGCCTGCAGGACAGTCTTTCATCAAGAAGCTGAAATTTTTAATAACCTGCCAGCATATGTTTTGTATGTGCCAGGCTAGGCTTGATGACACAACGTCTTCATTATCAAAAGAAACAGGTCTACAAACTGTAATAGGACATTAAAAACATGCCTGTGCTCATAAAATAATGCTTTGATGTCTAAATGTGCACCATTACAATGGTCTTCTGGAACAAAGGAGAATTCTAATCCTAAATTCTCCATGGCTACACTCAATGGAGAACTGCAGTTCACCCTCACCTTCAATGCAGTTTCACTCTGAAGGTGAAAGAATGTCAATAATCATGTGTGTGTGTGTGTGTGTGTGTGTGTATGTGTGTATACACACTATATATATTTATACATATACAACATACATATATATACATGTATATATACACAACACACACATATATATTATCTTCGTATATTATATAATACATATGTGTGTGTGTATGTGTGTGTGTGTGTGTATCTTTAGAACTGCTTTATTTTTATTTTCACTTTTGGGTACTCACCACATCATAGCTAAGCATTGGCCTAAAACTAAAAAGATTTTTGAGTAATTGTTTTTTTCCTTGTTAAGTTTAAAAAAAATGATTTAGACAGACTAGTAATTATTCAAGAGTTTCACACTTAATAACATTAACAATGCTGCCAGATGTATTTGGTGACAATTTAAATGTTTAAAATTATTGAAATTAAATAATGTACAGTGATTCTGCTAAGTACAATTCAGTGAGTGTCAGTATTGTAAATATTTCTTAAAGTCAAGTATTTCAAATTTATCATAGTATAATGTCAAGGAAATTCTTTAAAATTTTTTCTTTTGAAATACTGAGGCCAGCAAACACTCTGCACACTCAATTTTTTTTTTAAATTGTCAATGGACCTTTATTTTATTTATTTATTTATTTGTGGTGCTGAGAATCGAACCCAGTGCCTCATACATGCTATGCGTGTGCTCTGCCACTGAGTCACAATCCCAGTCCCTGCACACTCAATTTAAAAAAATAAAACAGTCATACTTTTCTAAGGTTTAATCTCAACAGTTTTGTTTAAGAAGGAAATTCTATATAATGCGAAATGAAATCCCATTCAAAGAGAACATAAGAGAAATCTCCATGGGCCTCAAAATTAAATACATTTTCCTTGTTTTATTTTTTTCTAGAAGAGTAATTCACTTTGGTATCCTTTAAATAATATGTAAAAAGCTGGCCATGACAGGTACTGCATTTAGTCCATTCCCTGACAAGGGGGGGAGAAAGACCAGAATAGATCATGGGGAGAACCGTCACATTTGTCAAAGGGAAGTCTCTCTCCTGACTGTTCTCCAGATTTATCTATCATTTCACTTTCCCAAGAATAATGTGGTTCCCTCGAGTGTGCCCTCCCTTCCAGTCACTTGTGTCTTGATTCATGTCCCTCTGTAGTGGGATGCTCAAAGCAGATACAAATCACTTTTCAAGGCCCACTGTTAGGTATACCAGGAGGGAAGGAACCAGTTAAGGGAACCTGAGTCTCACTTTTCCTAATCAGTAATGCTTTATTTAAACAGTAGGGCTGCCAAAATGGAGGGGTAGGATCAAGAGAAGCCAGGGAAGCCTAGATCTCTGTGAAGTAAAAATGGAACAGCTTTTAGAGTGGTGAGTTTAATTTAAACATTAAACCATATAAAACTAATTATTAAACAAATTTGGAACACACTAAGAGGTCATCTTACCAATGTGCATGGAAAATCTTTAGATTTTCACTCAGATCCTAGGACCTCTTACCTACTACTCAGGTTTTGCTGGGAGATTTTCTACTAGGTATACTATTTTCTTGGCATCTCGCAGGGATTAGCAATTACATAAATTTTCTTGGATTGTTTTTAAAAAACACAACTGATGACAGAATGCTATTATACATTAGCTTCCAGGTGACAACCATTTGCTAATAGAATTTCTATCTCATAATAAAATATAGCTAGCTTAATAACGACACTTGATAGAAGCACACAATCAAGACCCTCATAGGGCAAATGGTGAGATGTGTAATGTTCCTGAATAAGATAAGAAAAAAATCACTTCCTAATTACATAATTGATTTGAAAATAGGAATAAAGGCTATCAGAGTCCAAATAAAGGATATTTAAAATAACCTAATGAATCCTTTTCATTTTTTATGCAAGCACAGGGGCACAAGAATGGCCTGTAGATGGGTGACAGAGTTGAGTCTAGAAGAGAGAACTTTCCTCTCCTCTCTGAGCCTTTGTTTGACTCCTAACTGTCCACGGTCACTATGGTTTAAGCCACCCTGAACACTTACTTGTGCCCACTTCTTGTTCCAGTCTTCAGAGCCGTATCTGTCACTCTCCTTTAACACCCACTTGTAGCAATTTAGATGGGAAGGAATGTCACAAAATGCCATCCCATTTCCTCCAAACTCTGAGTCCATTTTAAAGAGCCAGCGTTGAATTTTCAGGTGATCCGTCACCAGCTGGCTCAGCTGTTCTATCATCTGTGGGGCCAAGACAGGGCAGCGATTAGTAGAGCACATTCCCGAGATTCTTCCCACCATATTAACCTGGTGGTGGTACCCTACAAGTGTCTTCTCTTCACATAGTCGGTTCATTTGCTTCTCTTCTACTTATTAAGATAGGTTAAAGAATGTTAAGTAATGTATATATGACATGAAAAAACGTAGCCAATTAGACCAAACATGTCTAAAATCAGGTTGATGAGAAATTCCCAAATTATCACTTTGTTGGCTCCCCACCCCCATATTTTTTTAATTGGTGTATTACAGTGGTACATAATGGTGGGATCTGTTACGTATTCATACATGCACACAACATAAGAACATAATTTGGTCAGTATCATTCCCCGGTATTTCCCCTTTTCTTTCTCTCCTTTCTTCCTTTTTTTTCCTCTACTCAGTAGTTTGAAGACTATAATTTTCATGAGGCCACCCCTCCCTTCACACCCAACCTTTCTTTTCCTTTCTCCTGTCTAGCTTCCTTATGAGAGAAAACACACAACCCTTGACCTTCTGAGTCTGGCTTATTTTGTTTAACATAAGGATCTCAAGTTCCATCCATTTTCCTGCTAATGACATAATTTCATTTTTCTTTATGGCTGAATAAAAATCCATTATGTATATACGTCACATTTTCTTTACCCATTCATCCATTGGTGGACACCTAGGCTTGTTCCATAGTGTGGCTATTGTAAATTGTGCTGCTAAAAACATGGGTATTAATGTTGTTTGGCTTTGAAACGCAAAAGAAAAAAAAACCCTTAAATATCTGTAATTGAATCTTGGTATTGTTTCCTTTCTTTTTCAGAGAATTATGTGCTTACTTATTGATTCCTCAAATGATTTTTTTATAGTTTGAAGACTATAAAGAGTTATAGTCTTGAAAACTTTAACTGTTTGGAGCTTTGTTGAGCTTTTAAATGCCATAACCTATAAAACATTTAATTTTTTCCTCATTATCATACATGAAATGCATTTGTCTGGCTGGCCAAGTTTACTGTCTGCATGATATGAACACATATATTCCAGAACGAGGCAGATGAAGGAGAAGAAACACTGAGGGGAGCCTTCCTGGAATATACACTACCCCACATTTTATTGGAAGCATTCCCTCAAGAACTGACCTCAAATACATAGAAGTTTTAGGAATAGAAAAGAATCCCAAGCTTTAAAATCAAAAGGATGACGACAGTAACAATAATACCTAAGATTACTGAACTCTGTTTATACAGGCCTTTGGCTCTGTATAAAGTTCTTCACATGAATTTTCTCATTAAATGCTCACAATGGCCTATGAGGATGGCATCATTGTTAGTTCCATTTTGCATCTGAACAGAGGCTGCTTGATTTAAACAACTTGCCCACAATCACACAGCACTGAGTGGCAGAGCAAGGATTCCTCCCAGGTTGCTCTGACTCCAAACCCTAAGCTGGATCCCTCTCCAAGGTGCTGCCTACCCCAGTGTGCAGAGGGCGGGAGAAGGGCGAAGTGGAGAAAGAAGTCAGAGGAGGAGCCCGAGAAGCAACTCAGTTGACGGTCAATAAGCCATTTGGGGTGTGTTTGAATCTGACAAAAGTCTATAACATGACTTCTTAGTTATAAGTAGTACTGTCTTATTAGAGCCTTGCAGAAAAACCGCTTATTAGATTATGAAATGATTTTTGTCTCATCTTCTCATTAGATTTTCCAGTCTCTACTTCCCAGAAGGCAACAAAAGGGCGCTTGGCCTTGTTCTTGGAAATGTCTCCTGCATTGGTACTCTCCACAGCACTTAACCCTTCTCTCTCTTGATGCCTTTTCTTCACTCACCAAATGGATTTCTGAAACCTTATTTGAAACTAAAGAGTGTGAAAGGAGTCAAGATGGATAAGTTCTGTTGCAGTCTGGAGCTGTAAGATCAAAATGATTTTGTTTAAAGGCACAATCTGTTCACTTGAATTCTGTCTACGCAGCAAGTGCTATTAGAGAGGGTACTTGACACCGCAGTGTGGAAGAAACAGCAAAATGGCCACACTTGGGGGTCCCTAAAACCTCAAGCAAATATGGGATGTTCAGTCAGATTGGCAATGAAATTGTCTTAGCTTCCTAATTATCAAGTAGAGTCTCTGGATGATTTGGGTGTTCAAATGACAAGTCTACGCATACAGTAACAAACACAGCCTAGGAAGCTTTTCTAATGTGTCTTCCAAAATCATACCCCTTGTTCTCTAATGTGTGGAGAGGACAGATTCTACATTTAGTCATACTTTCCTGTATTGTGATCATGCTTGGAAAAAGTGGAAATGGCCATAGTGCCAGATAAAATTATGTTGCTAGTCTAAGGAAAGGTGTTCTGGCATAGTGTTTTCCCCCCATATATTTGGATATATTGTATATTTGGAGCTTTCAACTACTAACAGAATTATTATTTGTTTCTTCCAAATCCTATTATTTGTCGCTTCTAAGAATCCTATAAATGGGCATCCTTTGATGGATCCCCTAGAGTAATGAAAACAATCAATAGTATTGTAAAGACTGCACCACTGGAAAGAATTATGTGCTATCTTTAAGTGAAAATTGAACAGTGCTTTAAAATAGCATTGCCATTTTTGATTATTTAACCAAAGCTGTCGATATTTCATATGAAGCACATGCCAGAAAGGGAACTTGTGTGGTTACTTTATGGATCAAAATAGGAAGTGCTCTCTGCACATGCTAGATTTGTAAAAAAAATAATAATAATGATAATCAGTTAATCATAAACTGAATGACTTTATCCTATTTCCAAACATTTGTTATTTTTTGTTTGAGTTTATCTGTTCAAAAGATATAATATTTTTTAGTTGTGATTCACTTTATACAGTAAAGAGCAGAAATAGAAAAATGACTGCTGCAAAAATCCAACTAATACTCAGGAATACTTATTAACCTAAGATAAAATAATCACAGCTTTCTTTCACCAGCTTTAAGTTTATGATGCACATTGGTAAAAAGTCAGTGTTATTGATTCATTACCATCTGCAGATTCAAAATACTGAAACGCTCAGATCGATTAGGTAGGGTAGTCACTCTCTGGAAAAATCTCAAAGGAGTACTTCAGTTCTTGATGACTTCAGATGTATGTTTTCCAAACAGAGTAGAACTCAGTTATAACTTGGTTATTGTGATACAATCTGTACATACCACAGATGGAATAAGATCCCTCAAATCTGATGGAAAGGTTTTTAATCTTACTTCTGAATAATGGTATTCAGGGTTTTACTGCATTAAATGTGATTACATCTTTAACCACAATTAACATACAAAGCCCTCAAATATGTTAGAGCAAAGACTGCCTGAGTCATCGTCAGTGAAGATGAAGCTAAGACTCAGTATAAATATTACAAGACGTTTTAAAGCCTTGGAGATCATTTCACGTAACATGCATGCATGAACTTGTGTCATTTTAAAGTATATTTTGGTTGTATTAAGTCTGCCAGTCAAAAATTTGACCAGGAAGCAGAGTCAAGCAACCTACCTTGTTTTCTTCAAATTCCAGTAGAGGAAAAGACTATGGGAGCCCCAGGGGCCCTCTCCATCCCACTTCCACTAAAATTGCTTATGCCTTTGCAAGACTGTACTTCCTCCAGGAGTCCACACATTGCCAGAAACATTCTAGCAAGACTGAGACACTATAGGGCAATTTAATAAGTTCACCGTGCCTTTAAACTAGTCTCTGCAAGGTATGATCTGTTGAAAGCTTGATTTGGGGGGTCAATGGCTATCATGAGCAGGCCACTGAGAGTAGAAAGGAGAAGCCTAAACACTGGCCCTCATAAACTGCCTCATTGTGAATACTTCCTAGAAGGGAGTAGGAGAGATAATTTGTGATTGGCTCAGAGTGATGGTCAAGAGATGGACTGAAACAGAGGTTAGGAATGTTAATGGCCTTTTGTTTTTTAATTTTCTTTATTATGATAACAGATGGCAGTTAAATGAGAGAACACCTGCCAGGGCTGACTCAAAGAGAAAATGCTTCCAGTGGCTAGTGTATTTCTCTAAGTATTTGGGGACCTAACCATGTGTTGGAAGAGCGCAGAGCAGCAGACCTGGTCCAGAGGAAAACCGAAAGCAGTTTTGTTCCTAGAGCCAGTTCTCTTGACCTCTGTGGGATCTTTCTCCTCTTTTAGGGCCCTTTGGAGGAACCAAAGCTTTTTCACAGGAACAAGACTATCTATAGCACTCTGCAACTTGACCTGGCAGGGAGGTTCACTCCCTGGAGCTTCCCAAACTTGCTTCTGTTAGCCAAAACAGACTCCCATGTCTCTAGGGTCCTACTACATGGCTGACTGGGTGATACAGTGATGAACTAATCCAGGTGAAGGTATTAAATATTGAGGGTGGATTAGCCCACATGATACCCAATTGGAGTCTTCAATGTCTTCATCCAACTGAGTAAATATTCTGGAAATCCCAGCAATTTTTACAGGACCAATAGGAAGATGCTTTAAAACTTGAAGGCCCAATGTAGATCCCTTCCAATCCACTCAAGTATTTCTATATTCTTCATTGGGTGGGGCTAACTCCAGATCCCCTGAATATGCACAAAATCAAGAGGCTAGGAAATATTTGAACAGAGCCTTATTGGTCGACCCCACATACCTGCTGAAAATTAAAGAGGGTGTATATCCCAGGAGGGACAGGCACATTGGCTTTGTCAAAGATCCGTTTACTTCCGGACTTGGTGCTGTAAAGGTGGACGAGTTCAGGCTCTGTGCCCAAGATGGGCACATCTAACATGTCAGCCACGGCCAAGTCATCTCTGTGGAGGAACCCGCCCACGATGTAGGCCTCTCTTCCCTGGATGAGATGCTTTATTCTTTTGATTGCCTTGGGACTGTACATCAGGTGAGTGGCCAAGCACATGTGATGCTTCTGGGGGAAGATCAGATTATTCCTGTTAGAAGGTGTCCTTTCTCTAGTCCATACACCTAATTTATAATGTGGCACATAATAAATACATTATTAATAGCAGGGTGGGTTATGACCTATCCTGTTGTTCAGCAGTTTAAATTGATAAAAGCTGTTGGGGTGAGGGTCCATAATCGCTCACATCTTTAGTGTGTTAGAAATAGGCTCACTGGGAGTAGAACTAATTACTACACATCTGTATTTATTTGATCCACGTGGAATTATCCTTCTGTCAGAAGGAAAAGAGGCTGGCGGCCTTTGGATAATAGTGATTCATCTCTGCAACACTTCTGGTGTGGTTTAACACTAAAGTGTCTAGAAAATCAATACCAAAAAATGAAGAAAAAAGCCCCATAGTATATTCTGCACTATACAGACCCCTAATCTGGCAATTAAAAAAAAATATTTCAGTAGGAAAGAGGGGCTTCACTTGATATCCTCTTTCCACAATTCTATCACAAAGTCCATTTCTGAGAATATGCACTTTTGTAGTGAGTACCAATAGTTTCTAGGTAACCGTTTTGGAAAGGATTCATGAATAGAAATTATTTGAAAATTCCAGAAAAACTCAAATTTATTTTCCAATGACAAATTCTTTTTATTTTATTTTGACAAGTTAGACCCAGCTCAGCAATGCATGTGACTGTCTTATTCAATTAATTAAGTCATTCTATCTATGCCTAATAGGAGCAGAGGACAGAACCATATGGTCAGCACACACCAGAACTAATACAGCCATGTTTCTGTTTTCAAGGAGTGGGGAACCAAATAAGAATACTTAACACATGACTAATTCAAGGTAAATGAGACCATGGGGATCTACCGAGTTCCTCAGAGGTATCAGGGGAGAGAGACAAAGGCCATAGGGTGGTAGAGAAAGCTGAAAAGGCAAGTTACTCATTCTCCTTGAGCTTCAGTTTCCTTATCTGTAAAATGGGTATCTCACAGGGATGCTGTGAGGATTCAATGAGGTAAAGCAGGAAAGCACTTGTAAGTACCTAGTAAACTCTCGGCTAGTATTACCATCATGAAAGAAGCTGGAGTTGAGGTCGATTCTGAAGTATGGATAAGATTTTGTCAGGTGGAAATGGGCATGGGAAAGACATTACCCAGCAGGGTTTACCAGAACCAAGATCATGTTACTTCTAGAGAAGAGCAGCATGGCACGCACAGCAGCATCGGGTGTTAGAGTCAAAAGAGATCTGTCTTTGAATCCAGTTCTCTCACTTATGAGCTTTATGAATTTAGACTCTGCTAGCCCATTTCTTCAGGTGTTAAATGGGGAGCAAAAATACCCATACCTGGGGTTGCTCTAAGGCTAAGTAAGGTCACAGATATAAGACACCTGGTACAATGCATGATGTTGAGTCGATAGTCAATAAATGGTAGTAATTATTTTTACTGGGAAAAAACTTTTCAAAATTAAAGCTATTAAAATGTCATACTGATAATATATGCAAATATGGCATAGTCTTAAGGGAATTCGAAGGTCTTTTATAGACTAGCACTGACTTCAATTTTAGTGAAAAATTATCTGCTTTTCTCCACATAAAAATAAGGAGAAATACTCAGTGACTGTTTCCAGGGATATCCAATGCACTGTTTTGCAAACTCTTAGAGAACAGAATAACTTCTGAGTGTGGGAGAAAGAGAATTGGCCTGGGAAAATCCCCTGGATTTCAATCCTGCCTGAATTTGTAACTAACTGGGGGACTTAAAATACTCTCAGCCTTCCTGAGTGTCAGTTCCTATATTCTAGCATTCTTCCAGCTCTGAAATAACTTCCTCCCTAAAACCACAGCTCTTCTGTGCTTGTTTAATGGGTATGAAACTTGCCAGTTGAAAATGGCTGGTAGAAGCAGTGGTGAGGTACAAGTGGCAGGTTGCTCCAGAAGCAGGTTCTCATTCATTGTTTAGTGGGCACAGAGTTTCTGCTGTGGATGATGGTTGCATAACAATCTAAATTTGGTGCTTAATGCCACTGAACTGTATACTTATAGATGGTTAGATGGTAAATTTTGTGTTATGTATATTTTACAACAACAACAAAAAAGCAAAAAATCAGGACTCCTTTGAGAAGAGCTGTATGATTTACCCTATGGACTCTTCCTCCAGATGAGGAGTTTTATTCTAGACTCCTTTGATCTATGCAATATGCCTTTTCTACCATAATTTAAATTCATTTTTAAAATGTACTTCTGAAAGTGCAGTTCTAGGAAACTCAGTGCTCCCTTGGACATTGCCTAGTGACAGCACCTGGTGGGATCTGATCCCCTGGTTGGTCACTGTTTATTTTGCTACTTTCCTTCTCCCACAAATTATCCCAATGAGGAAATGTAAGGAAAAATAAATATATAAATAGTCCAGGGAGCTGCTGATTTGAGTTACAACATCAACAATAGCTTTTTGGGGCACCTGGAGGTGTCTCTCGGGCCCAGTCCTGGTGAGTTAACAAGGGCAAGGCCTGTGTGTCTGTTCTCTCCTTGGATCCATACAATCCTGTCGTGATCAGCAGTCCCTGTTTTGGAGAAAAAGGAAATCGGGGCTCAAGTGATTTGCCCAGTCACACAGCTTGTCAACGGCAGAGCAGGATTCGAACCCAGTTAGCACGGCTGACATGCCACGGCAGCCACAGTTCCCTGCCTTCCAGAGGAGCGCTGAAGGTCTACAGGGTTGATGAGCTGTGAAGAGGAGACAGCAGATGTGGCCATAGAACCTAATGGAAAGTTCTGAGCATACTTCCAGCCAGGATGGGTTTCTGTCTCCTCTAGGTTTGCTTATTTCTCTTGGCAAGTATCCTCTGCAGCTCCATGTGCTAGTCATCTGTGGGCCGTATTCCTCAGGCAAGATGCTGCCACAGTATTGCATTCAATGAAGATTCAAATGTGAGTGAGTGACAGCAGAGGACACATTGCTGACCGCAGGTCTTGTGTGACCATTTAGAAAAGATCAGTTTCGTTGGATCCAGGCAGCAGATTAACATGACTGTGACAAAGAATCTAAAATGTTTCTAATTCCCTCACATTATGGCTCCATTTAATCGAACACCATTGATTTTTTTTAGCCTAAAAAAAGGTAGTTGTTTAGAATGTCTTCATAGGCATTAAAATGTCCCAAAATAGACATGATGACTTTTATAAGAGCACATTTTGCCATTACCAATTCAAGCGTTGTATAGTAACTTGGAGAGATGTACAAACAGATTTTTGGCATGCTTTAAAAAAATCTCCTCAAAGCCATCCATTTGAATGAAAATCAGCACTGATACAATCTCTTGAACCCATTAAAAAGAAATAAAGCTATAGCTAACTATGCACAGGAATGGATTTGAAAGCGAGAGTTTAATTTTTATATTTTAAAAAGTTGATTGTGTATGAGTGATTAATTACTCAAACAATTTGAATTTAAGCTATGAAAAGAAATATTAGGTATAAGCCTTGTGAACTTGTTTCTACTGGCCGAGATGCCAACGTACACTCTGACTAGACCCCTGCAGGGGTTAGGCTGACTGCCTGTCTCTTGATTGCAGGTTGAAGAGTGCATGGTAAGGGGAGATTTCTTAGGGGGCAGGACTAGAGAGTTGGAGAAGACTTTGGAATTAGCTAACCCATCACTTCATCTTATGGATGAAGATTGAAGATGTGAAGATTTGCCCAAGGCCACGGAGCCATCCCGGAGCAAGGTAGTTATTCCAGGTCATGAGAGATTTCTGGGATGGCAAGAATTGATTCACACTCTGGCCCTATAGGAACCTTAGACTAGAAAATGAGCCTTGGTCACCACAGCCATAAAATGAGAGTGATCCTTTTGGTCCTGTTACATTGCTCTAAGGACCAAAGGAGAAAACGTGTGATTAGACTGCACAAACCTTAGTTCACTCACTTTGCTTCTCACAAATCCCGAGTTCCAGCCTCTTCAGTGGATCTGAAGAAACTCCTTCTGGCAGCTGGTGGGTGTTAGCTTTGTAAATGGAGAGGGCTACCTTTATCAGAAAATTTAGAGCCTTTACTTATACAAAAAAAGTCTCCTCAAAATTGGATAGTCCAATGGGTGGAGAAGTACTGGTTGTTTAACGTGGAAAGCTTAAATACCAAAATGAGAGGAATTGATTTCAACCCTACCCTTGAGGTTCCATGAGCTTTCAAAGGCTCTTGTCTAGGGATGGATTCCACTCAGAATTCATTCCATTCATTAAAAATCAGTGCATTTTAAAACAATAAATCTGAACCTTGTTTCTTAGGTACCATGTGACATGATAAGTCAGTTCAACTTCCTCTAAGGTGGGGACACCTGTGTGGAGGTCAGAAAACAGGAATCCTGTCAAGATTCTGTCCCTATGTAGCTTTGTGACCATGTGCAGGCCCAGCCTTTCTCTGCCCTTGGCATCCTCACACAAAACTAAGAAAAAGGATGATGTTATAAATCCACCTACTTTGATGCCACCAATAACTATGCAATTAGGCTTTGGTTACACAGAAACTGGGCAGGGGCAACTCAACTAAATCTGAAAGTTAAACTGGGATATTTATTCCTACAGTCCAACTAGTAGTCTAATCAGTAAAGCTGTTAAACTTGCAATAATATTTCACTGATGTGTACCAGAGCGTTGCAAGTTATAAAATTTCCAATTTAATTTTACTGCATCCCTGAAGCCGTAGTAATTAGAAGACAAACTCACAGGGAAGAAGTTTACAGCTTCAGGGGTGATAATTTTGAACCTGTCCTGCAGGTCACTTCTGTCCTCAAGGTTCCCTGATTTGACAGCTGCGTGCAGACTCAGGATTTTATTGTAATACAGCACTAACTCGTCGTTCATATGATGGGAGCAGATGTAGATGACATTCACATTGACATCTAAAACACAACAGGCACAATGTTAATTACCGGTATAAAGGTAGATGACATTATGAACTCTGGCATCCAATTGATGTGCAGTTTAAAATAAAAAATATATCCATAAGCCATAATGAAGTTAATTTGCATTAGTTTTGCACACATTTTAGCAATCTAGGCAGCTTGTTTTTTTGCACTATAGCATTTCTCTATATGAATAACACCACCAACAACAAAATACACGCAGTGTTTCCTGTGGAAGGAGGACTGTGAGGTACCTTGGAAATCCACTTTCAAATAATACACAGGGATTCAGCTACACAACTCCCATTAACATCAATGGGAATTTATCCCATTAACTTCAGCAAATTATAAAACACAGCCATTAACTTTAGAAAGCTGATGAAATTGCAATTTCTTACTCTACTTGGACTTGACAGGGCCAATTCAGGGAATGTCTTGTCCAAATAAATGGTCTGATTATGACCACAGCAATGATTATTTCAAGAAACCAACCTTTCTCTGCTTCATTCCCAAAGAGGAGTATATTACTTAAATCGCACATCTAGTGATTCTTGGTCTAAAGGAAACACCATCTTAATTTAACTGTTCTCTTTCTTAAGATGTGCTTCTTATTATGCACATAGAAAGAAATCCTAATTAAATATCCCATCCAAATGGAATAGTGAGATGAGATTACTCACCCCATGCTGCAGAATATTTTAGGGAGTATGGATGGGAAATGAGCAGCCAATGGAGTTATTCATTCATTCATAAAATAGCTGATGGATATAAATATAAGTAGGAACAAAGTACTTGGCTAGACATGGAAAGGATCCAGTCATCAAAGTGACAGAGATGCTGCTCTCCAGGAGCAACCCTTTCATACAAAGAGCTGCAAAACATAGTGGAGGAGCAGGCAGGCCAGGTGTTCAGACAGGTTCCAGGAGGGAGTACTGAAAGTGCTTCCTTGGGCAGGAGGGACCCCTGCAGATTGTAAGACTCCTCTGTTCATTTTGGCAAAGTTCACAGAGAATAGGCTGACTAAATTCTGGCTCAGCTTCCCAGGACCCTGGGCCCATTATTTAACCATTCTAAACATTTGTTCCTTCATTTGCAAAATGGGAAAGTAAAAACTACCTGAGGCATGGAGTTTTGGTGTGTATTAAATGAAAGAATATATGTGAAGCACCTGGTGCAGTATCTGGTACATAGTAAGTGCTCGATAAATGGCATAGGTGCATGATCTACTCCATGGCCCACCCTGACCAGGCCAGCCAGCAATGATCCCTTCACACCTGTGCTCCTTTGAATCAGCCCCTAAGATTAGCATTATGAAGTAGTGTCCTCTGTTGTTCCCTTCTATTGTTTAGAATCTATTAATCTCTCCAGGTTCCTTACGTTCAAGGTTTATACTTTTTTCCTATATTCCCCCAAGTCCTGATAATAGTGCAAAGTCCATAGGTGGGGTGACAGAGGGATTTGGGAGAATGGAGACATTTGGGAAGTACAACATCTTAGTCACTTAGTGAGACCCATGGTATTGGGACAAATTTCCCACTCTGGAGACCTGAACTGACCCAGTGCTGGACTTGAAGTAGTTACTCCATACATGTATTTAAATGGCCCATTTAATTTTGGGATTGAACCCAAGGGGCTTAACCACCAAGCCACATCTCCAGCCCTTTTTGTTTTATTTTGATGCAGGGTCTCGCTGAGTTGCTTAGGGCCTTGCTAAATTACTGAGGCTGGCTTTGAATGTGGGATTCTCCTGCCTCAGCCTCCAGAGCCACTGGGATTATAGGAATGTGCCACTCTGCCTGACTGGCCCATTTAATTTTGAAACCAAGTTGCCACATAAATCTTACAATAAATTAACTGAGGAGACAGTAGTTAATAACTTGTATCCAGTGGCTGCATAATTAAGTTAGGTATCTCAAAATCTTTGTTTTGAAGAAGAAATCAGTGTCTTATCAAATTAGTGTATTTTAAAACCAAACTGGTGATTTAAAAATAAAAGCATAATAAAAGGACACAAAAATAACTTATAGACTGTGCCAGAAGAAAACTAAATAAGTTTTCTTTGGGAAGAAATTTTGAGGTTACAAATAATAAGAAATCATGCTGCTAATTTCACCTTTCTGGTTCACTTCTGGCAAAGGAATACATATCACTAATTCTAGTATCCAGTATTAATGTGATTTCATCATGAATCTACCAATGCTCAGCAATGATTGACAGGTAATTATGGAAGGGAGCTGATATGAAGATGAAAGTTGCTTTGATGGTTAACCAATAGTCAAAATCAGTTACTCTTTTACTTTATTCATCTAGGAATTTAAAGTCCCATCCACGGGGGTCTACCTGACTGACAATCCTGACTTCACGGTCAGTATCAAAAGTGTGATCAAATCTTTGTTTCCCTTTCATAAGCAGAAAAATCAACACCTTTTCTTAGCAACTAATGGAATAAAAAGAATGATTATTCTTCCTCAAAATTATTACTCAATTTTCTAGTTTCTTCCTATTTTTATTGCCTAACAAAGTACTTTTTCTTTCATTTACTACTTCTAAACACTCTTCTTGAAGCGATTACATGATTGCACTGCTGTATCATGAAGGTAATGTAATGAGAAAAGACATAAATGCTTCCGAAATGTCCGTATTAGCAAAAATTTTCCATTTCAGGTGGACACAGACTGAATTACTGAACTTGAAGAGAAGCCTAATGTTTTCAAGTCTTTTCTAGTAATGAGAATCTTCTGTAAAGACATCTTTCGGTAAAGAGATGCTTCATTCTATATATAGAAAGATATATAAAAAGCTGAAGAAAAAAATTAATTCAAATAAATGAGAGCAAAGTCTGCCCTCTGGTGCACTTCCGTGCTCTCCATCCAGTCAGGTTTTTGGTTGAAATAGTTCAGCACTAACAAATCAATCTCAAATCATTAAATTTTTTTTATAATGCTGAAAAACAATATTAGTGCCTAGATAATAGATTAAAGCAATTATATTATTATTATTTTAGGACACTGTAAATTTCTAGTACTGATGTCTTTTTGTCACCAAATGGCATTTATAAAATAATAATGATGCTGAAATATATATGAATCATGTAAAGTATGTCATTCCAGGGAGCCAGCTAAGTTGGTCATTGATAATTTAAAATTTTTTTCTTTTTTGGCTTAAATAAGGGCCAAAGCAATTATATTTTAACGAAACAAAGATGTTCTTATCTGATAACTAATGAAGATCTAATTTTTGTGTAGTCCTAATACTTTGGCCAGTTTCTCCTTAACCAACTTGATGTTATTGCTTAGGCTTTGCAATCTATATATTTTTAAGCTTACCTTGAACTCTGGCCTTGACCAGTGTCAATCAAAGTCATCAGATTCACACATTCTTCTCTCCTGGACCCAAGTAGGTGGCTGATTGAGAACTGACCAAACCAATATCAGGACTTGACTTTACAAAGATGTAGCCATCACTTAATCAAGGTCTGTGTTTCTAAGAATTCCCTTCACTGGGCATTTCATTTTTAAAAATAATTAAATGCTCTATATTTACAGAAAAGCTTCTTTAAAAATCTATTTTCATTTCTCTGTTATTTTTACGATGACAACACAATGCTTCATTTCTGATACCAACTTCCAGTGATTCCTCAGCTAATATCTTAGGCAATATTGTCACAAATATACAATTTTGGTCTCATACACTTGCAAGGATTCAGTAAACCAAGAAGATTTTTGTATATAGGAGAGAAATTCTCATCCAAACCTACAGGAAAAATATATTTAGAAAACTGCCCAAGTAATTGATTAAAATGCTTATTTTTATTCAAGTTGATCTCCCTGTGGATGTTACTTAAAATGAAACATTCAATTGTCCTACAAGTGGCTTAAAAACCTAAGCTTTTTCCTTGTAGAAGAAAAAATATATAACAATAAGAAGAAACGTTGTATCAATATTCACTGACAAACATTGCAAAGAGTCATGTGTTTAAAACTATTTACTGTACCTATGATGTCACACAGCCGCCCCAGTTGCCTGTTCTGCTGTATGTTGAGGTCGGTGACACCTTCTCGCGCCTGCTGGGAATATCCTACAAGGCAAACGAGGTGTCAAAACCCAGAAAGAGCAAGTCGATAGAGCAAAATGGCACAAGAGAATTTCAAAATGTCACAGTCCACATTTTGAGGAAAATGTCTTCTCTGCAGCATCTCACAGAAATAAGACAACTCCCGAGAACGAGGTCCTTATTTCTCTGGGGATTAAGCATTATTCTGGGAAATGTGCTAAGCAGCACCTCCTGCAACAGAGAGGTTCCTATTTTCAATACCAACAAAGCTCCTGAGAATCAGGATTACAAAAACACGGAGAAAATTTCTGACCTTCACCATGACTGTTCAAAACTACATGTAAGAACATTATGCTCAGGTTATAGAAATGGTTTCAACTTTTTAACTTGTGAGTCCTGTGTGGCATTTTGAAGATGTATTCCAGAATCATTCTAAACTGACACACAGATTTCAGATAAACCCCTTACTGTATTTAAAGAATTCTCATATCAAAGAAATAGGCTTCTGCTCTCAGTAAAAAGAACTTTGAACTCTCAAAGTGCAATAAAATTGAAGACAATGACTTTGTCAGTACTAAGGAAAGTCTTGAAGTTTACCTTCCTTTCAATTGGAAACAGTAGAAGGAAGACTTGTACAGATTACTACTGTCCAAAAATCTTCCATGAAAACAGCAACACTCTCTGCTGATGTTTCAGGTCTTGGGAGGGCAAGGGGAGTGGATCCTGACAGGAACTTAAAAGACATGCATGCTCACGGGCACTGTCATTATTATATAAAACCAGCAATATAAGGTGTGACTTTTTTAAAAAATAAAACTGCTTTTCACATTTTGAAGAAATGCTTCAATGCCTCCTTGTGGTTAGTGAGCCCAAACACATGTTTCAAGCTCAACTGCTGTAGATGAAGTGGTTTTATAGGCTACAGCTTCAAGATGTGACACTAATTTTTCTTTTCAGCATAAGGAAAACTATAGCAATTCAGGCAACAGGGCTTCAGACCAAATGAACTCTGATAATTGGCTCTTTGCTTTGATGTCAGTGTTTAAATGCTAGACAATGTCTGGAAAGTAAATGAGCTTACAGCTCATCTGGAAGTTTCTCTTTGCTTTATGTATATGGATTTAAGAATTAAAGAGGCAGAAGGACCAATGGACTGTTGGAATTATTTTAGAAAAAAATTATTAGACTTTCAAATAATTTAGAGAACCATTCCATGTGTGAAAGCTAATACAGACAGGTCCGATTTCAAGGTTGTCTTTATATGTGACTGCAATATTCTGCATGTGTATAAATCTATCTGTGTTCATATAAATGTTAGATATATTGTGAATAACATATATCAAGACTATAAGAAAATAAGGAAAAATGCCTAAGCAATGGAGTATGATTAGGGCCTGAGGGCCTGAGAGAACACCAGGAATGCATTTCCTTTTAGAAGTAGAGATAAAAGGCAGTATAAGATGTCTCATTAAGATGATGTCCAATTTAAAATATAAAAGATGTTTGATCACTTTGTAGCTGCATAGGCAGCCCATAGGGAAAAGTCTGTGTTTCATTCAAGTGCTTGATGTCAGTTTTCTGTCAAATTACTTGGTAGCTACGTTACCACTGATCAAGGAGGCATACAAGATGCCTCTGCAGAATTATGATAGACCTGGTTACCCTCTTAGCCCTACTAATACACCCATTTTAAAGAATCTCATGTTAACAACAACACTGATGTAGAGGGTTGCATAAAGTAACAGATATGAAAACACTGTAAACTGCAAAACACTGTGTAAGTGTAAGGTATTTTAATATTATGGGGTATGTGCACTTCCAAAGCACACCACAACCACCACCAGGAATTCCGTGACAAGCAGCATGGATGTTCTGTGACAAGACATACACATGCCATCAGTTTGGCAGAAGTTGAGAGCCAATTGTTTTTGAGATCAGGTTTATTATCATGTTTTGTACATCCACAGGCACATCTATTGACACCCAGGCAAAAAGATCCCCCCATTGTTCTGGCATCAAGCATTGAATATGACAATGACTTAATAGGATGTTGTGGCTTTGGGGAGCTCAGCAGACATGCCTGGTAGCAAGGATACATTGCTTGTAATATAATCTACAAAGATGTGGCTACTTCAAAAATCAGACTAGGAACACTGGGGGATTTTTTTTTTTTGTACTGGGGGATTAAATGCAAGGGCACTTAATCACTGAGCCACATCCCTAGCCCCTTTTTATATTTTTTTTTTTAGAGATAGGGCCTCACTGAGTTGCTAAGGACCTTGTTAAATTCCTGAGGCTAGCTTCATGATCCTCCTGCCTCAGACTCCCAAGCCCCTGGGATTATAGGCATGCACCATCGTGCTCAGCCACTGGGGGATGCTTGAGATACCATCAACCTCAACCTTGTCCTGCTATAGATGAGGAAACTTGGGGTAAGCGCCTTATCTCTCCAAGATCACATAAGTGTACAAATTATTATGCAGTGTAGCTACTACATATTTAGCTCTTGTTATCAATTTAGTTACATGAAATAAAAGATTAGACTCTCCAAGTGGGCACAGACAACTCCAGGAGGGAAAAGTGCTTTTGACTCTTCTCACTTTAATTTTCAATGTGTCTTGGTAGGCAGAATAATGGCCATCCCAACATGTCCTTATCCTAATCTTCAGAACTGTGCATGTGGTAGGTTACATGACAAAAGGGAAATAAAGTTGTAAATGAAATTAAGTTTGCTAATTGGCTGACCTTAAAACAAGGAGATTATTCTGGATTATCTGGCTGGGCCTGGTGAAATAATAAGGGTCCTGAAAAGTGGAAGAAGAAGGCAGAACAGTAGGAAGTTAGAGGGGTGACTTAGAAAGGCAAGGGGTTGCAATGTTGCTGGCCCTAAAGGTAGAGAAAGGGGCTGAGAGTCTTCTTCATGCATTCCTTGGTGAATGGCTTCTACACGTTAGGAAGGACAACTATTCTTCCCTAGAGCCTCCAGGAAGGAAGGCAGCTCTGCTGACACTTAAATTTTACCCCTCTCGCACATTTGGGTTACAGAGCTGAAAGCTCCTACATGTGTATAGTTGGAAGCCATTAAGTCTGTGGTGTTGTCCATCTTCCCTTGCTTCCACCAAGGACCACCCCTGTCAGATCCCTGCTTCTCTTTCCACCTATAATGAAAAGGTGAGGGAGGGTCAAAGACCCTGATACCTGATAGGTACTCAGTAACTATTGCTGCTGTTGTGTTTTGATGTTTCTTTCCTAACCTCAGCTGAGCCAAACTCAGAAAGAGAGTCTCAGAAAGAACTTCATTTAAACATAGGGAAGGTGTTATCACCGCAAGCACAAAACTACTTGAGCCACCAGAGTACAGCTGTGCCTTATGCAGAGGGTAGACCCTGGCTGCTCTCAGCTGTGCCCGACCCAGGCTTTTCTGAGAAGGTTCTGAGCCTCCCCTCATTGTCAATTTCTGGCACAACGGAGACTACACTTTCTCGTTTCATCGTTACACGTCCCCCCATGTGCTTGTTCACCTGTGTTGTCTCCCTGTCTTCCTGGACCACTCCAGAGTGTAAGCTCCCTGTGCACCTGTGGGTCTGCGCAAAGAATCCGTCTCTTATGTTCTCAGCCCTCTCTCCTGCGTGTTCTCTTCATTCCCTCTATTCCATTTAACCCTCTAAAACTGGAGAACTTCTGGTAGATTCAAAGAATGAAAAGCAGGATTTGTAGATTTTTTTCAGGTCCTTATCAGCACAGGAAAACATCACTGGCAGATGGAGGCCCTCTCTCTCTCTCTCTCTCTCTCTCTCTCTCTCTCTCTCTCTAGAGGAACATAGCCTCTTTCCTGATGCCTGTTCTCATCACCTGCAAAATAATCCCCATTTGATAGAACCATTCATCTTTTCTCAAATAAATTTACTTTTTCAAACAAAATGAAGTGGAAACATTACTGCTTCCACTTCACATCAAAGATGGTTATCTGAGCGCTTCCTCTACAGTGGTTCAACTACTTTTGGTCCTTTCTGAATCAAGAATGTCCATTGGTGGTGACTGGAAATACCCTCCATCTTCGCCACCTTTCCCAGGCCCCACTCCCACGTGAAGCTAACTGCCTCTGTGTCTGGAGGACTAGCCTGCTGACATTGGCTTTTCCTTCACTGCGGCTATAGAAATCCAAGAGCACGAGCAAGGCCATGTTCAGTGACCAGGCCTCAGTGGCACTGGTGTGTGACTCTGTGACAGGCCCCTGTTGTCACAGAAGATCCCGTGTTCTTTAACACTTGGCTCACTACCCTGTGGGTGAGTCCTTTTTCTCTTGTCTCCAAGTCCTAGCCTCACGGTGGTACTCAAGGCAGAGAAGAGGTTAACAACAGACTCCCGAGTACCAAGTGGTTGATCGGCATCTGATCACCCTGAGTTGTGAAAACATTCTCAAATCAAATAGTCAAATGGATTCCCCTTCAAAAGGATGAGAACTTTCTCTTGTTCTTTTTGTCAGTGACTGGCTCAACATCGCATGCAACTAAACCAGTGATTCTCAAATTGTGTTCTGGGGACCTGGGGAGTATCAAGGTCATTTCAGGGGATCTGCAAAATCAAAACTATTTTCAAGATGATACTAACATGAGCTGGGGTTGTGGCTCAGAGGTAGAGCACTTTCCTAGCATGCATGAGGCTATGGGTTCGATCCTTAGCACCATGTAAAAATAAAATAAAGGTATCGTGTCCAACTATAACTAAAAAATAAATATTTTAAATTTTTTTTAGATATAGTTGGACACGATACCTTTAATTAATTAATTAATTAATTAATTTTTATGTGATGCTGAGGATCAAACCCAGGGCCTTGCACGTGCTAGGCAAGCGCTCTACTGTTGAGCCCCAGCCCTAGCCCCTAAAATTTACATATTTTAAAAAATGATACTGAGATGTTATTTGCCTTTCAAAGTCTATTCTCTCACAAGTTACAAAACACAAAACATTTACCAATATGACTGCAATTCCACATTGCAGCTAATAGTTCTTATTATGGATTT